TTCAGGAATAGATTACCTTAGTCGTATTTGTCACAACTTTTTGGAATTTTGGGTCCTCAATGCTCCTCAACCTGTTTGGCTTTATAACTATAGATCTGAGTGTCACTGATAAGTCTTATGAAGTCGAAACGCGCGTCTGGCGTATTAAATTATAATCCTGGTACCTTTGATAACTATTTAGACAGGCCAGGATGTTATATGGTATAAAAGAGCACTATAAGGATCTTGAAATTTTTAATCTCTTATATAAAAAAGAAAATACACCACTGCAGTTGTTTTCAGAATATATTCTTTTGGTTTGTTTTTGTAGATCTATATGTATGTTAAGATATATCAACTCTTTTTGTGAGCTTTGTCTTTTATTGACTTACAATTAAAATTTCAAAATATAAGGCGTTTACGACATACACACATTTAAAACTAAAAACATAACTCTTTGTAGAATTTCAAAACAATCGTTCTTAGAGATTCAATGTAGTTGAAATAAAATTTCATTTACACAGCTATGTTACATTGTATACCTTCATATGAATTATTTGTAAGCATCAGTACTGAGTAGCATACAAATACGGTCACAATACAGGACGTTTTGTGTTTTAAAACTTTTCTTATCTGCAAGGTTGACTTTCTCTTCATCTGAAAATCGAGATAACCTATAAAGCTTGGCAAAAAATAAACCAACAAAAACAGTTCAAAACGAAATACGATGAAAAGACAAACAATTTCGCAAAACTCTAAATTGAAAACTAAAGACTGAGCAACGTGACGTCGTTATTCCATTGTTGCCATGGTTTTGTCGGTTTCTCTTAGGCTTATGAATTTGATTCTTCCTTCGCATTGTGATATTAATCAGCCTTTATGCTCCACAACACACGTAATCAGCCTTTATGCTCCACAACACACGTAATCAGCCTTTATGCTCCACAACACACGTAATCAGGTTATGCTCCACAACACACGTAATCAGTCTTTATGCTCCACAACACACGTAATCAGCCTTTATGCTCCACAACACACGTATTCAGCCTTTATGCTCCACAACACACGTAATCAGCCTTTATGCTCCACAACACACGTAATCAGCTTTATGCTTCACAACACACTTAATCAGCCTTTATGCTCCACAACACACGCATCATGAAATCTTTTAAACTGTATGCACTACACACATCATACATCTCACAAACCGTGAAATTTATCAGCCTTTATGCTTTATGTGTCATAAATTCACGAAGCCTTTATGCCTTACTCCCTGACTGAATCGGTCAAAAAAACTTTTCCAGCATATCCCTATTTTTACTCCCCCTCTTCAAAACAAAATACGATGAAAAGACAAACAATTTCGCAAAACTCTAAATTGAAAACTAAAGACTGAGCAACGTGACGTCGTTATTCCATTGTTGCCATGGTTTTGTCGGTTTCTCTTAGGCTTATGAATTTGATTCTTCCTTCGCATTGTGATATTAATCAGCCTTTATGCTCCACAACACACTTAATCAGCCTTTATGCTCCACAACACACGCATCATGAAATCTTTTAAACTGTATGCACTACACACATCATACATCTCACAAACCGTGAAATTTATCAGCCTTTATGCTTTATGTGTCATAAATTCACGAAGCCTTTATGCCTTACTCCCTGACTGAATCGGTCAAAAAAACTTTTCCAGCATATCCCTATTTTTACTCCCCCTCTTCCTAACTCATGCCCCCCTGACTACCGTTTCCCTCCCACTTCCCGTCCCTCATTCTCAAGTGTCCATACCCCTGGCTACCACCTCGAAAAAGGGAGGAGATTACACAGGGGCAAACAAAAATCATCATTAGATGAACAGCAGACAACACCATGACCAAAAGAAAAAGACATTATTTCAACGACACTACTAGTATTACGTAAGACGTTTACTAAAGTCCCAAACTGGAAATCCTACAAAACTCATATATAACCACGCATCATTTAGATGCAACGTATTTAGCATAAATTTTTGGAATTTTTGGGAATCAATGTTCAACAACTTCGTATTTAAGGTAATTCGGGGGGTTTGAATGTCCACCTATTTTGATTCGAGCGCCACTGAAGAGTTTTATGTAGACGAAACGCACATCTTGCGGACATATATAATAATTATAATAATAATAAAATAAACGAAAAAAAACACAAAGAAACAAAACAAATACATAAACATCTCCCCCTAAAAACTAAAACAACTAACAATTCCAAATAGACAAACAAACAAACAAACAAACACCTCCCAAAAAACAACAAATCAATCATCAAACAACATCAACTGTACAACAATTTGTTAAGCCTGGGACATAATATATTCGTATAATAATCTCAGCTTAAACGACACATTTGATTCATAATTATTATTATATAAAAAAAACTTCAGTGTGTTATTTAGTCAGTGCGCATGCGGTGTATACTTCATCTGGCATCACGCTTAACTATTCTTATGTCATTATGTAAAACATGAATCATGTACAAATGTAAACCGAAAGGCCGTACGCTCCACAGAAAGAAAAGAGTAGCCTCTTCTGAATATTTGAAGGTCCCCACTATGTTTTGGTTACCTAAACTTAACAGAAAAACCATGACATATCGTTTCATCTCGGCCTCCATTAAGTGTTTCAGTGCTTTTAACTAGTTCCTTAACTACTATCAGAAAAAGTTATTATTAACTTTAAAATTGGTAATAAAACATATGAAAACAGTGGAATCAACTATTTTTGGAGTGTAAAAAATTGTTTTGATGTTTTAGATAAATTACGTGCTTTTGATGGTCCTTTTGATTCGGTTGACATTTTTAACTTTTCCACTCTTTATACTACACTTCCACACAATCTTATCAAACAAAAGTTTTCCTATTTATTCAAATTTCGTTTGAAAAATCTGACTGCAAATTTATTTGTTACAAATTATATGAAGCCCTTTTCTCTAATGAGAAAGGTAAATATTCAAGATATACTTACTGGAGGTGTGATGAGATGATTAAAGCTGTAAATTGTTTCCTTGGCAACATGTACGTTTCGGCAATGCAGTTTACCGACAGGTTGTTGGTATTCCTATAGGCATCAATTGTGCCACTTTAATAGCAGATTTGTTCATGTACTGTTATGAATCACAGTTTACGGCAAAACTCAGTAAAACCCGTCTTAATTATATTTAATTGATAAATTCGACAACGCTTATCGTTATCTTAAGGATATTTTTTCGTTAAATAACCAAGAATTCTCTAAATAAACTGCCGAAATTAACCCAAAGGAACTTATTTTGAATAAATCAAATATTAACAGCAATAACGGTCCTTTCCTAGATTACGATATTTCATTTTTACACGAGAAACTCTACACCAAAATTTACGACAAAAGGGACGAATTGTCTTTCCCTATTGTTAATTTTCCTTTTTTGTACAGTGATGTTCCTTTAGCAGCGTCTTTAATACGGTGTTTATTTATCCTAACTCCTTCGCTATGACCATGTCTGTAGTGACGTTTTGGATTTCAATGAGCGTAATCTATGTATTACTGGAACATTATTAACAGTCAGGATTTCGTTACCACAAATTGATTAAAACCTGTTTTAATTCTTCCATAGATACAAATATTTGGTTTTGAAGTTTGGCTACACTTGTAGAAAACTTATTTTAAAGGGAATAGCACATCCTAATTTTTACGGTGATGTTGTTTACCGAGTCCGGAAATTTAGATACGATACGAATAAACTAATTAGTCCGTTAAAAAAACTTATTCTAAAAAGTTACCAATTCAATACTGTTATTAGATCTTTAAATATTGTTTTCATTGGTATAAATATTGATTTTAATAGCAGTCAACAATACATATCATTGTTGTACACATATGCTCATTCACGGTACTACAATCTGTCAATACCTATATTTTGGCTTTGCACAAGGTCATGTTTTTCTCTGACTGTTAATGACATCTTTACACTAAATCCGTTGGATGTAGGATGTGTACTGATTGATATTTTAGATACATGATTTTGTTATTAGTTGTTATTGGCTTTGAACTACCTGCCAGTACCTGCGACTACTCTCAGATCTGTACTTTGTGTCTTTTTTGTTGTTAGGGATGTATAAATACACTGCCACGTCCGGTCTGTGTTTTTGTTAGTATTTTTTCTGATTTGTATCGATCTGATGAGTTAAACCATTTTCAACTGATTTTTATAGTGTGTTCGTATGTTATGCTGCAACACCACTGTCCAAGGTTCGGGGAGGATTGACCGCTCACAGACATGTTGAACCTCGCCACATTTTTATGTGTATGTACCAAGTCAGGAGCCTGTAGTTCAGTGGTTGTCGTTGGTTCATGTCTGTCATATTTGTTTTTCGTTAATTGTTTAGTTATGAACGAGGCCGTTAGTTTTCTCAATCGAATTGTTTCATATTCTTCATGTCGAGGCTTTTTATAACCGACTATACGGTATGGGTTTTCTCATTGTTGAAGGCCGTACGGTTGCCTTTAATTGCTTACTTCCACTTCATTGAACTTTGGTGGATGGTTGTCTCCTTGTCAATCATACCACATCTCCTTATTTTCATAAGAACACATTAAAAAAGTTAAAATATTACAGAATATTTACAACAACAAAAATTTGAGAATGGGAGGTCCATTTCCCAAGCGCCTTTTATTTTTGTTATGGGGGAAACGAAATTTCGAGGCAGGAATAAAATGTTCTTGGTTAAGTTAGATACCTGTCATATGTATACAATGTAGATTGTCTTGGTAAGGTTGAGAATTATAATTACTTGAGGTACTTGCTTTAACATCCCCTAGAGACCAAATGACGAGGATGTATGGTTTTTATATGTAAATTATAAATTATATTTTTTTACACGTTATGGTCATATAAACGCAATTATACATATAGGCGTGTGACAAATATAAACAAAAAAAAGGTACACAAAATCGATTTGATTATTTAATTTATCATGATTATCATACCATATATATTCCAATCGATTTTGTGTTTGTCTTTTACAAATATTCTTTAAAGCTTAAAAATGTCAGCTAAATTTTTCTGTCGAGGTTGATATAAATAATCTGGTCTTTTATCATATCCAAAAATTTGAAAGTCATTTTGGAATATTTTCTGCAACTTATTCATTGTGGCTATTGGAATAAGATTGTACGCACTGATAAGATATTTTCGCTTTTGGTCTTTCATATTGTATTTATCTTTCGATTCAATATAAGCATTGATTATTGCGTTTTTGAAAGTTGTAGGTCTTAATTTGGTTAAATCTTTTGAAGTGAACGGAAATTGAATTTGTTCTGCAATTATTCCACGTATTTGTAATTTTCTCCATATTCTTTTCAGCCCTCCGTATACACTTAAACATCTAGTAACCATGATGCGTACGTCTCTAAAAGTTTGAACGGTGTCAGAGATTGCATCTAAAATTGAGTCCGTTTGAAAATCATTTAAAGCAGAAGTATAGTTTTCAAGGTTGAATTCTTTTAAAATGAAAAATACATCATCTGTAAATGTCTCCATTTTACCAATGTAATCATAATGTACAAGACATGGCCGACAATTGTCTGTTGCTGGTAAAAAATGTCCGTCTCTGTCTTTATTTTGTTCTTCTGTGTGTATAAAGTATTCCACCATTTCAGGAAACGTAACGTCGTGTCCACAGTGGTTTTTCTGTTTTCGTGTAAACGCCACAGCTTTTGACCCAATTAAATTCCAATAATATGGGTTAGGAGAAAAAATCTTGTCTAAGTACCCGGATAATAATCTTGAGTAGGGATCTCGAACGAATAGAAATTTAGAATTTTCTTTTAAAATATAATGGTAATCATCCAGCTTCTGAGATTGGAAAGATTTATAGTTGTTCATACAATCCCAAGGTTTAATCGAGTACGGACTTCTAATTTCACGTTTATATAGTAACTGAATGAGACGTCGCCAAAATGTCGACCCCACTTTCTCAATTCCACAATATACCATCTTATCGTCTGGAACAAACTGCATATGTGCTTTGAAATTGTTTTCATCTGACCTTCCGACGTCAATCCTATTGTAACACTGCTTATCTAGGTTTTGCTTTCTACTCTTCATGATTGTGTCTATATTATGGTCCTATTAAATGTAAAACAAGTACTTTAAATGTAAAATGACACGTTGTATCGACATCTGTGACGTATATCCCTAATCTTCTCTAAATCCTTTTAACACATTTTATTGTCAAACCAGAAAAGTGACATTGAATGAGACAAGTTTTTTTTAACATATTTGGTCTTCTCTAAATCGAAATAATGAAAATTACGCATTATTAATTTCATGCGTACGAAGCTCTTTTCTGAATATATTATCTTCATCAGAAGAGCTTTAACTTAAACATTAGGGCCTGTCCCTAGTCAAGAGCCTGTTATTTAGTGGTTGTCGTTGGTTGCCGCTATTATATCTGGTTTTCGTTTACTGTTTTGCCATTATTCAGGTCATAGATTTTTTTGTTTAAAATGTTTAAGATTTTGTCATGTCGGGGCCTTTTATGACTGACAATACGGTATAGCTTTTGCACATTGTTGAAGGCCGTACGGTGATCTGTAATTGCTTAAATTTGCGTTATGTGGACCCTGTTGGATACTGTTGTCTCATTAGTTGGTAATCATACCACATCTCATTTTTTTATATTGACCGTGTTGTAGGAAGTTTTAGGAGAAAAAAAAGTTCAATTTGCGAAGTGAATTCCACAGCATGCAAAAAAAAAGTATTGCACTAAAAAGAAAATTTGCCATGCAGAACACGAATTATAATAATGATTATTGTTTCTTGTTTGCTTAACGTCCAGTGGCAATTATTTCAGACACATTCAGGACGAGAAACTATTTACAATTTATATAAGAGACAGTTGTGTATAATAATAAACCATGGACCTAACTTACCTGGCTGGTATCTTGCATTGACAATTTTTTTGATATTTCTATATTATCTCCTTTATCTAATTCGACTTTTATCGATCTATCTTCTGCTAAAAAATTAAGAAAAAAAAAATCTTTATATAAGAGACAGTTGTGTATAATAATAAACCATGGACCTAACTTACCTGACTGGTATCTGGCATTGACAATTTTTTTTGATATTTCTATGTTATCTCCTTTATCTAATTCGACTTTTATCGATCTATCTTCTGCTAAAAAATTAAGAAAAAAAAATCTTTTGACTAACTAAAGTCCACATAATCATGACGTCTACTGAAGATATTTTTCGATTTTGAATTTTATAGATCCCTCATTTATGCAGGAAGACATTTTATCGAATTTTGAAAATTTAAGAATACAGAATTTAGGGACCTCCATTCACTGGTAAACCCTTATATTTAATTGGGCTAGACTAAAGAATATGAAACGAAATACATTGCCGGCAGATGCATGCATATCATGAGATTTTTGCCTTGTTAAATATCTGGTATCATCCCGTGTGAACTCGTGCGATTCCGATTCTTTTTACTATCATGTTTATGGTTTGGTATCAAGACATTCTGAAAAAAGAGACAGACGATACCGAAGAGACAACCAAAACAAAACGTCGAAGAAAAACAGACAATACGATTACCAAAAAGAAAAGCAGGACAAAAACAGTCTTATAAATACCTTCACAGAAAACGCGAAATTGCGCAACACAAATCCTACCGGAGTGATCGACCGGGGAGCCGGAAGGGTAAGCAAATCCATCTACACTAACGACAACGTTATGTAAGCTTTCTAATCGTTAAAATGACTTATGTAAAGTCCCCGAACAAAACCCCCGCCTGAAATCGTTTTCATTTAATTCTGGGAGTAAATGAAAAATGTACGAAGTTGTAAACAAATAACGGACCAACTAAAGGTATTATGTCTTTAGGTCATTTAGGTTGTTGTCTCATTGAAGATACCCCACCACTCCGTTTACTAATAATAAGGACAATTGTTTTGTTCTTCATACATTTATCACAAGGGGGCCTCGGTGGCCGAGTGGTCTAAGTAGTTACTACTGTAATCACTAGCCAGTCAACACTGAGGTTGTGAGTTCGAACCCCGCTCGTGCGGGTGCACTCGACTCCAATCTTAATTGAATAGGATTGTCAGTTTTCCTATCGAAGGTCGGTGGTTTTCTCCGGGCACTCCGGCTTCCTCCACCAATAAAAACTGGCCGCCACGAAATAGCCCAAAAGCGGTGCTTAAAAGTGGCGTTAAAACACCAAAAATCAAATCAAATCAAATCATTTATCACAATCCATTGGCTTTATATAAGATGTTAAGTTGTATACTTTACATGAAATAATCAATGTTAAAGTTTGATCTCTAGATTTAAGCTGTTTGCGTTGTTTGCGTTGCCTTACATCACCTTTAATTCTTATGTTCTCTATAATATTAGTAATTCAATTCAATATTGCTTACAAATATTCAACAAATCCATCAAGTTGTATTTTCCTTTTATGGTATTTGTAACCACCAATCTAGAAAGACGCGATCAAAGTAGTCCAGAAACAAGTGATATGCGCAAGGAAATCATGTTATGCGCTTTTTTATATTTGACATATTTTCTGTTTAAAATTCGTATTTTTTTTTTCTAATACATATTGAATCATTATATATACTAGTTGTTTTGGCTGACTCTTTGCTTTCAGTTCTCATATACTTCTTTTGCTGCAATGCCTACCTATGGGATAATGCTACTTTAGACAGTTAGACGGGTAATATGTTAATAGGGTATCAAGGACAACTTTGAGAATCTTGAAATTTTCAAACTGATGTATACATATATAAAAGAAAATATATTAAAACAGTTGTTTTCAGAATAAATTGTTTTGAAATGTAACACAGTAGATTTATATATATTATGATGCATAAACTCTTTTTTATGTTTATCTTTGTTTTTAAATGGTTTATACTTAAATAATTTAATTTTGGATGTGACGCGTCTTCTGATTGGCTGACAGTGTTTAGTCTATCAGCTCATAGACATAATTTTGTCATATCACCGTGACGTCATCATCGTTTTTTCACGATTTACTCCGGTTTAAAATGCAGTTTAGAATTAAATTATAAGGAATGACTGTAATATTTTTTCTGTCTTTTCGAAATAACATAAAAAATATTGTCGCACATTTTGAAATAACACGCTACGCGGGTTATTCAGTGTGCACCACATTTTTTATGTTATTTCTTCATAGACAGAAAAAATATTACAGTTATTCCTTAAAGAAAAGATGGTTTATTTCAACTAAACAACATAAAAACAGCGTCAACGACAGCCATCAATTTAAACTAACAACATAATTATTCTTTGCAGCCGAATAGCAAATCCCTGATTTGTCCATGAAAACCCCGGATTTATTATCCGACAATCAAGTGAAGATAATTTCTGAGAAAGCCGTCAACAGATGTCGCTGCGCAGAAAAATAATTCCCCTCGTAGAAAATCGTGAATTTATGAAATTTTAAGAAACCAAACGTTTCATGAGCGGTATACATGATATCATTAGTTTTACAATTATTTGAAAAAATAAGAAGTCAAAATAATGTATCGTTGAAAAAGAAATTCAAGTCATTAATTTTCAGTCTTCGGAACCGCCATTTTTGAACTTCGACTGCTAAACTGAAACATGGAGAACAGAAATGGAATGGTCACATGACGTTACCATTCGTTGTTCACACACGAACACAACTTCAGTAAACATCACAATTTGGTAAGGCCGCGCAGGGACTCCCAATGATTTCTTCTTAAAACTTCTCTGATCTTGGCCAACACAGCTAAGCAATATGACATACTTGTAACAGAGCAAAAGACAATCATTATGTCATTGAAATGAATAGAATTTGTTATTTTTTGTGATTTATTTTCCTTTTTAATGGCTCAGTCTTTTAGTAGAAAAAATTACAATAAAAAATACCAAATTTTGTCTACTTTCTTAAAAATCACATAGATATTCTGAATTCAACACATTATGCATATAAGAATATGTATATAAACCTCCCAATAATATCCCTAAACAGGAACATATATATTGACATACTGTTCCCAGCCCTAAACCAGTGCATTCTTTTTTGGGAAGTCCAGGTGTAAATTAATGTGATATGTGGCATGTCAGGATTTGTCCTGAATGACATGACTACAGTATAAACATCCTAAGATCTGATATATCATAGATAAAAGACAGAGGAAAAACAGTTTGAATAGAGTCAGATGTTTATTTTGTAGCTTACAGATGTAATTTCAAAAGAATGAAGATTAAATCACATCATAATATTCTTGGTGCTCATTCCCTTTTCATCTTCAATAAATCATTCATTAATTGTTCCATAGATGGTTGTTCAATCTGCATCCAGTTTACCTAAATTAATCTGTTTACAATGTTTAAGCTGCATGTACCTGCATTTAATGAGGATTTATATATTAGGTCGACATAGTAATTGTTTTCATTCTTCATTATTACACATATTTAAGTATGTTACCAGAGATGGTTTTATATGGCTCTGATGGTTTAATTTAGACTTTAAAAAAATCTTTTTAATACCCATTGTATATTTATTTTTCACACCCCATGTCCCTGTTTTAGGTTGTGATTTTTTTTTTAATTTGATTACATAAAATAATATCCACTAAAAAATAAAAAAAATACATATTATTAGTGAAATGCTATTTTCAGGGTTTTTTAGTTTTACACTATATTGACATTTTACTTTTAACATGTGTATAGCATGTTTTGCAATATTTAGTTATTTGATATACATGATTAGGGATTGGGCTTTAAGTTGACAAATACTAAGTAGCTGTCACACCTAGAATACATACTCATACTCTTGGCATTGATAATATCTGTTATTGCATATAAATGTAGACATGTTCTATAAAGTAAATTGACATTTCTGTTGGAGCCTGAAAGTGAATTTTTGTATTTGTATACTCAGAAAAACAAGATATTTCATTTCCTTTATCATATTAATCAGCCTTCAGCAAATAAAGGACTGGTGGTTTCATTTAATAATAAGAGTTGAAGTTTTTCTTTTCTCTTAAAATATAGGAAATTCAATTTATCTTGTTTAATACACACATGACAACTAATTAAAAGGGGACTGTTAATGGTGGATGAGTATCCATGTCATATGCCAAGCTTTTTATCTCCTACGTTTTGACAAGTTCTGAATGATTAAAAAAAAAGAAACAACTACATTTTATAAATGTATTTTTTTATATCCCCCTTTTCTGAAAGAGAGGCGAAAGATACCAGAGGGACAGTCAAACTCATAGATCGAAAATAAACTGACAACGCCATGGCTAAAAAATAAAAAGACAAATAGACAAATAATAGTACACAAGACACAACATAGAAAACTAAAGACTAAGCAACACGAACCCACTAAAAACTGGGGGTGATCTCAGGTGCTCCGGAACGGTAAGCAGATCCTGCTCCACATGTGGCACCCGTCGTGTTGCTCATGTTATTACAAATCCAATAAATAGTCTAATTCGGTAGGTCACCTTCGTGGTGAAAAAGGAAGTGGATTGTATTACGACATAAGGAACATATCCGATATCATCTGTAAAACGGTTATTCCATAACGGTCAACCAACTCGTGATGGCGTCCGTAAAATTTACGAAGGGATGATTTTAACTTCACCATTTGGAACTCTTGGTTTAATAGCTTCCTTGTGAGCAACAACCCTCTATCAAGGAATTCATGATAGGAAATACAAGCCCTGGAATATCGTATGAATTGGGAGATATATACTCCGTATGAAGGCGCTGCTGGAATGTTGCTACATTGAAATGGAAAGGTCACAATTGGTAAGCTGAAATCATCTCTTTTGTCGTAAAGTTTTGTTTTCAACCGACCCTCATTGTCAATTTCTAGATGTAAGTCAAGATATGAGGCAGACTTAGCTGCATCTGTTGTATCCTTTATCCCTAGTTCGATGGGATAGATGCGTTCAACAGAGTCACCAAATTTTGAATTATTTAGTGAGAGAACATCATCTATATAGCGGA